TCATTCATGACAACCGACTGCACACCAGTAACTCGATAAAGTTTCATCTTCAGACAACTGTGAAGACAGTTTCGCATTTCTGGCAGAAGAACGTCGGCCGTTACTTTGGAAACAATGTCTGTCAAAACATTTGCTTTGTAAACATTAGCACACACATCAGCAGCGTACACCCGTGGGCAAATAGTAGACGCTAAATTAACCAATCAGAGCGCGCGCTTTGATTTAGTTATGTTATAAATTAATTTGGTACCCTATAGTAGGTGGACACCAGCCTCAGCTAGTACCAGACTTTTATTCCTATGTTTTCTGTAAAAGGAACCATAATTAGACAATCACCAAACGGATACAGAGCTTTCATTTTAATAGAGTATTACAACATTGTCGTTGTCATTGTCAACATTGTCATCAGAATGTCAAACAAAGCGGGCCGACGATTTAAACGAAGTTTAGGTTAGACCTGATTTTTGACTAAATCGAGGCTTAGATAAGACGTCCAACGACCACGGCTAGGCGTGGTCTAAATCGCATTCGTAGTCTAAATCGCAATCGCAAATGTATTCCGCGGAGACCACGTCTAAGCGTGGTTTAACTAAAATTTCTATTGTTTTCCAAAAACCGCGTGTTCAGAATTTTGAAGCGGCCAGACGTAAAAATGGCGTCAAACTCTCGAAATGCAAATTTTAGCTAAGAGGAAAAACTTCTACTTGCCGAGCTCGGGAAGCAATATCCCGATATAGAAAACAGAGGATATGACAATGTCAGCTTCAAAAGGAAACAGTCATCGTTGGGAAAAAGTTGTGCAAAGTTTCAGCGCCCGAAATCCCGTATGGTAACAAGCGCGATATGAAAGCAATTCAGAGATGTTGGAAGCGCTGCAAACGAAAAAGGAATTTGATGAGCAACGGAGGGAAAGCAAGGAGACAGGTGGTGGTAAAGCCCCGGCTTCACCAAATGCTATTAGTAAGCTGGTTGCTGACGTTATTCCAGCGTCAGTGAATCCACTGGAAAATCAATTCGATGATGACTCTGTTGAACATGCTGCCTCAGCAGTCAACAGCTCTGTGATCGACGACACTGATGAACCTGGACCAGGTGTCCAATGTGGTATGAGTACTAGCTCAAGCCACTACAGAAAAAAGACAACAAAGCGAAAAAAAGAGATGAAAGAATTCATTGTTGGGCTAACGGATTTGCAATTTTCAATCATCCTTTGTTTTATTTATTTATTTCCTGACAATTTGCGAAATAAATAATTTGAAATATGTTTCTGTAAACAGTGCCAGAGATGCATGTGAACAAGCAGACCAAAAAGGTGAAGATCCATTCTTAACCTTAGCAAGAAAGGAACACGAAGCGAACATGAGGATTCTTGAGTTAAAAGAGTGGAAACTTAAGAATCAATGCAAGCAAATGGGAATCGGTCTCCCCGCAGATGTGTCACAAGAAAATGAAGATATGTGTCATCAGTAGCTGGTGTGTGAAAACCCATGCTGAAAGTGAACGACTTGTAATAAAATATGATTTCAATATGATAAAATAAACAAATTACGATAAGGTACATTATAATTCCTTTTATTCCTGTTAACAGTTTAGGTGGGTCATTATGGTATAAGTAGAGACAAATTAACATGACGCAAGTGTCCATGCTGCCGAAAGTAAGGTAAAAAGGTTTTTTGGAGGGGCAAAGCTGTATCAACTTTAGCCAAGTTGCAACTTTTCTTCTGGCTGTAGTCTCTACATTAACTTATAGATGTACGTCAGGTACCTACGTAAAATAGCGGGCAATAATTAACTTGTGTTTAGCATTTCCACTTGCGTCTGCAGCTCCGGAAGGTTCTTCAGGTTCATCGTCATCGTCATCCCAATCCACATCATTCATTTCACTTTCTCTCTGCATTATTACAAAATTGTGCAAGGCCACAATGGCTACAATGATAACCAGAGAATTTCCAAGGCGGGTACGCAACCCTACATGCAAGCAAGGGAGGCGCCTCTTCAGAATTCCAAAGCACCTCTCGATCACAATTCTGGTACGTCTTTTGAGCATCATTACAACGGACTTCTGCTTCATTTCTTGGATTTAGAAGGGGAGTCATGAGGTAGGTTCTGCATGCATATCCGCTGTCACCAACAAGGAGGCCATTGATGGATCCATTGCGAAATTGTTCAGCAATTGTGCTATTGTCAAAAATGCGCGAGCCATGGGTTGATCCCGGCCAGTGTGCGACACTGTTGGTAATTAATGCTTTACTGTCACGAACAGCTTGAAAGTTTACGGCATAGAATTGTTTCCTGTTTATGAAAGCCACTGCATTGTTCCTATCTGGACAAACAATTCTCACGTGGATGCAATCGATTGCCCAACGACACAAGGGAATCCTGCTATGTCGTAAAAGCTTCTCTTCGTCTCATGGAAATCGGCTGGAAATGAAATGAACTGCCTTTTATGTTTTGAAATAGCTCTTGGAACTCGGTGTATTACCTTGCAGACGGCATAATTAGACACTCCAAACAAATCCCCAATTACTTGATGAAAGCTGGCTGTAGCGTAAAAACGCAAGGTCGGAAGAACTTGCTACATTGGTGTGAGAGGCAAGCCTCTCCTCGTTTGATGTTCTAGATCGTTTTTCAAAATGGCAATGAGTGTGATAATAGAATCTTTCCTGAAGCGAAACCGTAGACAAAAATTGGCGTCGTCGTATTCTTCTAAAGGATTAAGCCTATCCCGCGTGTGTCGGATTCTTCGAACATGTCGAGTATTAGCCCATTGCCGTAGGCGTCTATATCTCAAACTTCCATCCGTGACAAAAACCTTCACTAAGAAAACGTATAGACTACGTCTAAACCTACTCATGACCAGGTCTAAGTTGCTATTGTTTGCAAGGCTGTGTTTAGACTCCGTTTAGGCGGGGTTTAAGATAACTGACGTTTAAATAACCCGGTTTCCCGGTTGAGACCCGGTTTAGGCCAAGACCCTCTTAAACGACGCCTAAACTTCTTCGGCCCAGAAGGGTTTCATGAGATGGGAGTCAATTGGCTAGCGGGGTGACACTCACGGAAAGCATGTGCCTTTTGTTGGCGCTGCTGCTTGCCATGCGTAATAATAACAATGACAATATTTTTACACCACGCAAACCAAATCACGGCGCCTATGCATGAAGCATACAGCTATGTCGCTGAAAATACTTAAAGCAATTATACGTACATGCCTAGTTATTGTTGTTTTTTGTTTCAGAGGATTTTCATAAATTATACCTTTAGCAACAAAAAACAGATGCTCCGGAAGGTCTCCTTGGTTCACAATGACTTTACCAGCGGGATATTCCTAGAAAAGAAAAACATATAATAAATTCAACCCGTTAGTTGAGATTTTGTTTCAGGACAGCTAAATGTGAGCAAGTTTAACAATAATCACTGTATAGCTACAAAACGATAACCTTATTTCGAAATGCTATGTTATATGAAATTTTATTCATACATTTATATACTTTAGACGTGGCGATTGAAAGCCAAACTCTTAGACATAATTAAGAAAACGCTAGCTTTCTAAAATAATTTTCAAATTCAGATTCAAATTGCATATTTTGCTTAGTGTTGCACGAGTCTCGCCATTGTTGACGATACTAAAGAAATTATGATAATTTATATATTCGAAATGTGAATAAAATTGATGAGGACGTTATTAAAATGTCAATAAACTGTTATTCGATATCGCTTTCATCCCTCCCCTTGGTTACCTATTGGCGCACGCAAAATTTATTTTGACTAGTAATGAGATTTATTGCGGTCGAAATTGATGTACGCGAAGCCAAAAATCAACACAACTGGACAGAAAGGCAGAAAAAAAAAAAATAAAACCTTCATCTAAACATATAGCAGATAAAGCCATTATGTGATCACCGTACCTGCCTCGCCATCAAAGCAACTAATTTGTTTTTCTCTTCTTTGGGCAAAGCTTTTAGTGCGGATACTTCTTCAATAAACACTTGAATCTCTTGCACGTAGCGATTCTGAACTCTCTTGATCGCGCTATGGAATCGCTCGCGGTCGACTCGCAAGAACTCAGTAACTTCCATGGTTCGTATGTTGTCCGGTGGTGGATAATCGAATTCTCTTCCATCGCCCGATACGAGCCCAAGATATTCCCCGGCTACGTGTGTGTAGTTTATTTCACAGTCATTTGCCTTTTCTGTGGTGTGCGCACCAGACACGCCATTATTTATAGCATATTTTACTTCTACCGATCCGCTCAGAATGTAATAACAAGAAAGACAGCTTTCGTCTTGTTTCTTGCTAATCTCCACATCGCTTTCGACTTTCTGGTAGGTGACTACATGGCCAAGTGCCTCCTTAATAAATTGTAGGCCTTTGTGAATATCTTTCAGCGCCGAAACAACGGGTTTTATTGCATGTAGTTCGTTGGCCGATCGCCGAGCGGTAGAGGGTCGCTGTAAGATGTCAAGGATTTTGTCCGTGAGCACAATTCCAGCTTGCGCCTTGAAAAGTCTCTTGTTAAAGACGGGTGGCAGTTTACGAACAGAAAACTGCGGTCTTGTCTCGCACAATATTGGCATGATAAAATTTCACAAATTCGCAAAAAAGCAGCATAGGGAAGTCACAACTTTTCGCTATTTGCGAACCTTTTTTTCCGGTTTGAGATCTACCTTTCGCTTTTGGCCCACGACTAGCATTAACGTTTGAAATTCCCGTTCGTTGTGTTATGATTTGACCATAAACAAACCATGTAGCCAAGCGAAAAGTTATGTAAATTAACTTTACATTGAGCAGGTGTAACGCTGACGTGAATTTGTTATTCCAGTTTTTGTCAATAAAATTACCGATAGATGGCTTTTCTTTTCATGAAATTTACTTACCTAAATTGTAGGAACAATAATTGATTTAGCACTTTAGAAAGACGTCAAAAAGCACTTGAAAACGACATAAAAATTACTTTAATTTTTTTCACATAGGAACAAGTGGAAAATCTTCTCTTCCGAATGCAAATTGTGTTCGGAAAGTGTGGTATTTACTTCCGAGATTATCATGTGTGAAATTGCTTATTTAGCTTTCTCAAAATCAAAAAGAAGATCATAATATAGAAAATGAAGTTATGAATTCGCAGTGCCAAAATATGAATTATGTGGGGATTATGAAATATATTATTTTTTTAGATGTCGTCGATCCACTTCCAGAAATTGTTATGCTAAGAGACAATTTGAATTGCAAGTAAGTAAGTGCGTTTCCAGTGCCTGCAGTGAATGGGGGAGTTCGACGAAATGAAACCTGACTGTTTATATGTCGTCACAAAAATCAAGTTGTAGGCTAGGTATGAGATTCAATTTCTTGGAAGCTAGAACAGTGTTGATTCGACTGAGTGACATGCCTCAAAAAGTAACGAAGTTAAGCGTATGTCGCACGTCACGCTATCGTTTGTCACGCTGTAAACATAACGAGTGTTCGTGCAACTTGTCTTGTACTGTGTTACAGCCGCCGTCCTCCAGGCTCGATTACAATACACGAGAGAGCGGTGGAAATCGAGCCTCTCCTCCCCAAAAGAAGAATCAATCAATCAATCTATCAATCAATCAATCAATCAATCAATCAATCAATCAATCAATCAATCAATGACTTTATTAAAGTGTCAGAATATGTAGTCCTCGGTAAAGACCCTCAATAGATTGGAGACACTTAAACAAACGAGTTACAGGAAGACCTTAATTGACAAGGACCTGAAGCAGATTTCTGATTACACATTACTTGAGCTTATTTTTACATATGAAGGTCCAGTTCCACACTTTATTTCTTATTCAAATAAATAAAAAAAATGTAAGATCTTTCTGCGGACACTGTGATTCGAAACCTGAAAATTCGACTCAAGATACATTAATTTATTTCCAAACCATCCAAACACTGGCTACCGAATCTACGAATTTGTTGAGAAAAACGTCCATTTTTATGTTAAAGGAAAAAACGTATATTTTTTTGTCAACGCTAATAAAAACCTTGCATTAGTTTAGCCATCCACCTAAGACGGTCGTACAGGGGCGGGGGGTTCTAAGGCACGGTTAACGGCACGGTTTGAGGATTACGGATATAAAATTTTGTTTTCCCAGATCACGAAAATAAGCAAGTACGATACTCTTTTTATTAACCTGTTTTTACACTAAAAAGAGTGTTTCGGAGGAAAGAAAAATCGTGAAAGGCTAAGTCCAGGCTCCGTATTGCAAATCGCATGTTTAAGTCACTCTTGATAGACGACTCTAACCATTCGGAGGACCTGCGTCTCCAAATCACGTAGAATTGAGGGGTGAAATCAGGAATGTCGGTAAATAATTCAAGCAGTCTTCACGGGTCATGCAAAACCTTCATGTCACGGATCAAGAAGAATAATTTCCTAAATTCACCGTTTCATGGAATATAAATCAGCTAGTCATGCATCACGAGAATACCCCTGTACGACCGTCACCTAAGTTTAAGCCTCTAAAGTGAAGGTTTTCCTTATGAAATTGGTCGCCATGCAAAGAAGCCCAAAATTCGAGCATCGTTGCCGCCATTTTGAACAGTACTCAGCAGCCAGGCCGCGTTTTCGTGACGTCAATCCGTCCGAGAGATTTGTCCAAATAGCTTCCGAAGAGCCTTTTTACTACCACCCCGGGTTATGGCTGCTCTTAAGCCACATAGTTTGAGCCAAATGTGCTCCAAATTCTGAAATGATAGCATAGAAAATAGTGAAGTGGATAATTGCTTGGAAAAAAAATAGATTTGGCTGACGCCAATTCAGTTGGAGGTTTTTCTCCTTCCCGCCAATTTTGAGTCGGACGGAATGACGTCACATAAACACGGCCTGGCTTCCAAGACAGTTTCAAAATGGCGGCCTCCGAAGTTGCTTCTTGTGAGACGAATTTTTTCAGGATAGCGGGCACTTCAGAGGCTGAAACTTTGATGAGGGGAAACTAGCTGAATGTTTACTTGTCGTAGGCGAAGAAACAAAAAGTAAGCTTTTTGGAATGACCTTCTCTTTTAAGAGGGAGTGACAATCAATGAAAAAAAAAAGAAGGCCAAAGGAAGCACCAAGAAATTAACGCGGGCTCTGGCCGTTCATGACTTTGAACACGTGCAGAGTGCTCATTTTCCATTGTCAGCCAATCAGCATTAGCATGAACGACCATCAGTATAAGCCTGAGCCCGCGTTTTTGGTGCTAACTAAAAGGAAAGCGGGTTCTGAACGGGGACTGGATTGATCTTTTTTCTGTAACTAACAGGTTGAAATAACAACATCTGGCCTTTCCGTTTTTTACTTTTTTTTTTTTGTACTTAGTTTCTAAACTTGGTACTTTCTCCAAGTTTTGTCATTTCATCAACAATGAGCGTGACTTTAAATCTCTTTACTGCAGCAACACTATCAAGATCTATTCCCCGCAAAGGTACCGNTTTTTTTTTTTTTTCCGAACATAGTTGGGGCCAAATAGGGGCCAAATGCAACTCCAAACTACTACAATTTGGTCTAAACATTAGAAAAAAATAGACCAAATTTCCATTTTTGGAGATAAAAGCAGGTACATGTTGCTAAACTGGTAATTGATTCAACGAAGAAACCTACGAACCAGTCGCTTTTATTTGATTTGGTTCATGTTGCGTGTGACAACAGCACGTGCTTAATCCTGCGCCATGCGTCCGTCACATCTGAAATTGATTGTTGAATAGTTATGAAAGTAATTCGATGCTGGGATTCCATCGACATGTTTCGTGACGCTTCAGAGGGAAGACGAAAATGAAGTTCAAGAGTTTCCTGCTTCTGTGTTTCCTCGGTTTAAGTTTAATGAGCTTCATCGCCACACTTCTACTGCCGAGAATCAAGGAGAAGAACTTGCTCCGTTTCCCTTTCGACACTTTGTTGAGGTACGCAGAATTCCTTCACCTTAACATCAGTCTATTCGACGGGTGAGTGAATCTCAAGTCAAACTTCTTCATTGAGATAGTTAAACCAGCCAAGCATCGCTGATTTATCGGTGTTTTGCTTCGTTGAACTCGTTTTATACCGGTAAACGCGACCTACTGGTGAATCCATCGGGATTAAAGAAAATATTTGGATTTAGACAACAATAACCCATTAGACACTGTCAAATATATTTTAAAAGAATATACTAGATGTTCAGTATTCCTTGCATGTCATGTATACGGTAGTCGAGTAGTTCATTACAAGACGAGCCTTTTGTATCGTGTTATGAAGCTTTCGACCTAAACCGCTTTGATTGTTTACACATGTAATGATGTATGATTGTTTGGCGATCTTTACGCGTCTCAACATCTTCTACACCGAGACAGATTACTAATTTGTCACGGTCTTGGTTTTTAAAGGTGTTTCTCAGAGGGTAATCGTGATAACGACTACTGTAGTTAGGCCAGACACTGGTCAAGGAAAGATTCCATGCGATTCTTGCATGGCCTTTAATTTTATGCATATCTTTAGCAGTAGCTTCGAGGTTATTTGCAATTTTCGCTTTCACACTGCCCTCTTTGTTTATTAATTGTCACGAATTCGTTACTTTTGTGTTTGAAACCGTGATCTGAGATCATTAAAGGTGCTTTGGCTTGGAAGAAGTATCGGATGACAAAATCGCCCAAATCGAGATGAATCCAGGAGTACGAAAATCTTCTCGGGATTTCAGTGATTTCACATTTCCTTGCCGGTGCTTACAATGAACCCAGGTGGCCTTTGTTGATTAAAAACTGCGGTCCCTGTGGTTGAAACAGAAAGCTCAGAAAGCTTCTTCATTACATACTCGTTGAAAAGCCAGAACTGACAAAGAATGTTTATTGTCTGCTGTAAATAATTGTATATAATTACTCGGAACAGGACTGCGAACTTTGGGAAAGTCATTTTCCGTCCAGAGAAAGGCGACGTTAAAGTTCTGCATTACAAATAGAACCAAGACTGATTTCGGCACGATGACTTAAAAAAAAATAATGAACTGAAAATACTAGATCCGAACAGCTGCTTAATTTACTGTGTGAAGAAAAACGGTCACTCATTCATCCTCTTTCATTCTAATCTCTGTGGATTATTACTTACGTGAGAAGTTATCATAAAATATGAGACGTACGGCTTATGTCAAAGGCAATACATTGAAGTTTTCGATTATAATAAATTATCGCTAAACCTTGTCAAATTCAAAATTATGTACGTTTTTTTTTGTGATAGCAAGGGCTGTTTCAGCAGAAAAAAAGGCATAATGTCTTGCAATCTAAGAGAACGTATCATTAACATCATGTAACACCTTGAAATTGGGTTTTCGTTTATACTGCTGTTTAAAAAAAGAAAACTGTCTTTGAAAATTCGATTTTACGATTCTGTAATATTGCAATTTAGAAAACAGTCCTTAGAAAATACGCGTGCTGATTGGTTAAAAATCGTGTTTCTATTAAACAATTAGATTATGAGCTCAAGATTTCTATCGCGTGATAGTTGACTATCACGTATGGAAATCGAGAGCGAATAATCTAATTGTTTTAATATAAATCTACTAGTCGTTCAAAACTTTATGGAAGTCCTCTTCACAAACACTTCGAAAGCGCCAAGAAGCGGCTGTCATTTCACTCACAAGCGCACCCCGTTACGCTACTCACTATCTATCACAGAATAGATAGTGAGTAGCGTAGCCAATCGGGTGTCTGGAAAACCCGAATAGCGAATAGCGAGTAGTCCCAAATAGTGCGAATAGTCTCGAATGGTACGAATAGTGGTGGACAGTCGCGAAAAGTGGCGAATAGTGACGAATAGTCGTCAATGCTCACCGCTTTAGATCTAATATCCTGCGTTGATAAATTATCCAAATAAGCAACAGAATTTCAGTGAATTTATTACCTTTTCTTCTCCGGACTCAGGCTAGGGCTGTCCATCGCTGACATTAAGCAAGAAAAGAGGAAACACAAGCATAACCTAATAAAGACGTATTTACGCTTTTGCAGCGATTAAAACAGAAGAAATTACGGTTTAGAAACACCTTTTGTCCTGATAAGCGTCTGCGCTTTTTAGTGGGTTAACTGCGAGATACTGAGTACCCTATTTGCTACTATTTGCTACTATTTGCTACTGAGTACCCTATTCGCTACGATTTGCCACCATTTGCCACTATTTATATATAGATCTAAATCTAGATCTATATTATATCTAGAGCGGTGAGTATTGACTAATATTCGTCACTATTCGCCACTACTCGAGACTGTTCGCCACTATTTGCACTATTCGAGACTATTCGCACTATTCGTACCATTCGCTATTCGCTATTCGGGACTGTTCGCTGTTCGTTATTCGCGACTATTCGCTATTCGGATTTCCAAGACACCCTAGCCAATCAGGGAACGCCATTCGTGATAGAACGCTAGTAGATTTATACTAAAACTCGATAGAAACACAGAACTAACACGACCTGTTGACTTAATAATGGCGCGAGCAAAGAGAATTTACATTTTGACAATCAAAGTTAACAAGTTGTTTCCTTTTTTTCGTCGCGGTGTTTTCTAAAAGAAATAGAAAACATGTTATCCGTGTTCCTATCCAGTTATAGAAACGTTCGTGAAAGTTTGGGAGAACTCGAAAAAGCTGTGGAAACACTCGCCTGCGGCTCGTGTTCCCACAGCATTTCTCGTTCTCCCAATAGCCGATAGTAAATGACTGAAAAATGGGGCAAATCCAAAGGAAATGGGTTTGAATTCGAAAAACCGGGTATTCTAAATAGCCGAGTTCGAATCAGTGGGGTCCAACGGTGGATCTAAATAGCCATTTTTCTCTCTGTTTGTCGTAGATCTTGTTATCGAGTCCATCGATGGACTTAGAAAGTTGGAACATTTTTTTCAGAAGATAACCTGAACACCTTTCGAAAACATTTACGCTTCCCTGATATTTCCAAAGTACACCCCGCCATAGCTCAAGAAGCCCTCAAGTCGACCTTAACTGCAATCTAGTTGCATAAAATTCACCCAGAACTGTACTCCGGGTTCATCCTTGGCTTAGAAGAAATATTAGTTATTTACTATTTTAATTCTCATCTTCTCTTTTCAGAAATACACATGACTCCTCGAGTGACGACTCGAGCCAGCCGTCCTCTGGAGCATCATGGCTTGAGAAGACTGGGTCAAGAAATGTTAGTGCCGTCGATCGAGAGTTTTGGGATTTACTACAAAATGCTAAGAGGCAATCTGAAGACGAAAGTAATGACAATGACGATGTTGATGATGACGAAATAGAATTAGAGGAGGAAGACGGAAAGCAAGAGTCTTCGACAAAAACAAGCCATGTACAATACGACGAATTAAGGTAGATAATCTTCTTTGTCGGTTGTTACTGTTGTTGTCGTTGTTATTGTTACAACGACTCCAATTTTTCAAGGGCACTACGAGTTTGATTAAAACGTATCGAAGCGGTCACGTATTATCTGCATTATGCCGACTCTCTGAACTTTCTTGTTACTGTTGTTATTGTTGTTGTTGTTGTTGTTGTTGCCACTGTATTACTGTACTTCTCGATATTTTGGTTCTTTTTGTTCCTTCTCCTGCACATGTTGCTCCCGCTGTTGTGCATTTGTTGTTGTTGTTGTTGTTGTTGTTGTTGTTGTTGATGTGTTACTGTTGTTGGTAGTGGTGATGATACTGCTTCTGTTTTTGCTAATTTTGTTGTTGTTGCTGTTGTTGTTGTTGCCGTCGTCGTTGTGGTTTATGTTGATAATAAGTCCCTGTTAGTACGAAAATTCCCTAAGAAAAGGTGCTACTTTACAGAACTTTATCGACCCTATTGCGTCTGCGTATGTTGGTTATTTTACGCGCTGGTGAAAACCAGCCTCAGTGTTTCTGTTGATGTTATTTCGTTGCTGTTTCTGCTGGTGTTGCTATTATCGTTCCTCCAGCTGTTTCTACTGCTTGTACCGCTGTTGCTGCTGGCGTTGTTGCGGTTTATTTGTTGAGCTTTGATATTAATTGAAAGGCTCCAGTCTCAATTTTTGTTTCCATTCTTAATTCAAACACTGTTCTTAACAGCTGCAAGCCTCACCAGGAGATCGCCTTTCTCAAAACTCATAAAACCGGAAGCAGTACTCTAACAAATATCCTCAACCGCTATGCAGACCTCAGAGAGCTCAAAATGGCACTTCCGGCGCAACATCTGTATCGCTTCGGCTGGCCTGGGTATTTCCACTGGCATGCTGTGGATCTGTGGCGGCTAAACGGGGAACCAGCTCACGTGCTCTGTAACCACGCCCGCTATAATAGGCCCGCAATGGAAGTTATCATGCAAAGTGACACTAAATACATTACAATTCTACGTGATCCCGTTTATCAATTTGAGTCGACATTCAACTACATGGAATTGTACCGTTTCTTTAAACTGACAAACTATTCCAACCCTTTGCAGGTTTTTCTAAGAAATCCTCATGGGTATCTTAAGAATTTAACAAGAACCGTTAAGTCGTTTCCAGAATCGATGCACCTTGTGAGAAACGGTATGTTTTTTGATCTAGGTTTGCCGCCATCTGCACAGGACAACGACAAGGAAATTCGCACTGCCATAAAAAAGGTCGAGAGCGAGTTTTCGCTTGTTCTTATTATGGAATATTTCGACGAGAGCCTTGTTTTACTCAAGCGAGAATTTTGCTGGGATATAGATGACGTCATTTACATCAAACAAAATCAAAGAAAGGCAGGTAATAATACATCGAACAGAGCTTTATCGACTCAGCTCAAATATATGATAAGAGACTGGAACCGAGCGGACGTGCTGCTCTATGAGCATTTTAACAAGACATTCTGGGAGAGAATCAAGCGACACGGTGAGGGATTCTATAAAGACCTCGCGGACTTAAAACGAAAAAACGTAGAGATGTTCAATGACTGTGTTTCCCCAGAAGAGGTCACGGAAATCGCATTTCGACTGAGCGGGCAGATACGTGGTTTTAAGCTTAACGAAAGGGTTTCTCGTTACAACAGATACTTGTGTGAAAAGTTACTCACAAATGAAATAGACTACATTCATTATTTCCGACGAAAACTGCACCCGTACTACGGGTATCAAAAGCAGCTTAGAGCTTCCGGAAAAACACGCCAGGCGGGGGAAAACGTTATTGTTAAAAGAATTAGTGCCATGAAATCAGTTAAGCCGCTCTAAAGAATTCATAAGCTATATTAAACGAGTATCTCGCTTTATTGCAAAGCGTCCTTTTTTAAATACATGCCATTGTAATTATTCTGATGTCACGTGGTATGTGCTATGGTACAGTGTGTTGTTTTTCTCTGTTTCATATAAATTATAATACGTAACTTACCCCAAGAGAATAGAAAATACTTACCGTAAATCCTCGAATTAGCGCCCGGGGCGCTTATTTCAAATTCAGGAGAAGACGGTGGGCGCTTATTCGAGGGGG